GGCAGGCGTGGCTGACTCTTAACTTTTATAAAGAATATCTCTTTGGATTTGAGACTTTAGTCTTTGCAACTTTACAGATCTTCTTTATGCACCAAGAGCTTGTAACACTCCAAAGAGAAAGGAACACTTGAAATCACATCATATGACCCCTTTAAGAAATACTTTTAAAGTATATTGTTTTTATGTACTCTAGAAATTACTCATTTGTTCTATGGAAAATATGATTTTATCTGTTCTCAATGCGCAGAGGTGGACAGTAGTGACGTATTTTTACTGAACTCAAGTAAATTTAAATGTAATTGAGTATCTGTACTTTATCAGTGTTTTTCTTTGGAATCTGTGTCTGATGTTTGACATACACTGGACCTATATTGCGTTATGCTTGGCACATATTGCCGAATATCTTGTCCTTCAGGACGGACTCTGCTACCTGAACACGAGATTTCCTTCACAAGCAGACACTTCCAGAACCTTCTCTCCGCTGGGATCTCCACACGATCAGCCCATCACAACAGTGAACACACACTTAAAAGGGTTAGGTCACACAAAAAAGAAAATTAACCCGTGTTTTACTCCCCCTCAAGCCATCCTCGGTGTATACGACTCTTCTTTCAGACGAATCCAGTCGGAGTTACATTAAAACTGGTCCTGCTCTTCTAAACTCAATCATTGCATTAGGCCGGTGTTTCTGTTCAACAGTCCAAAACACGTTAAATAAAGGCCTCCTGCAGCGAATCCATGCGTTTTTGCAAGAAAAATATCCATATTTCAAATGTAATGAACTCTTCTCTCCCACTTCTGCGGACTGTCTATGCGGAAGCGTTCCGGCAGACTACAGATTATAGAAATCAAATTACACAAATTTAAACGTCACCAAAGAAACATGTAGCCATGTAATAACAATGAGCAATAACAGCAGGGTTTTAGGATTCAATCACATAAGATGCAAAGACGCCAGAGCAGTTTCTGTATCTGCAATTTCCAACTTTAATTTGGTAAAATCATACAATAAACATTTTATTTTTCGTGAAGTGCACAGCTACTAAACTAGTACATAAAGCAAATACTCTAACTCTACGGGCTCCGGTGATGTTCTTTCACATGATCTGGTTAATTAAAAGCCTCTCACTTCATGCTTTCAACACTTCACTCATAACTGCTTCTGTAATTAAGACTGAATATTCAGCCAAACCTGTCCGAGAACACCAGCGCCAGAGCCCAATATGCAAATGCAACAATAGAGAATAACCACATGTTTTTGTTACTTAAGATTGCCGTGTGCCAGACATTCACTGGGGGTACAAATGAAAAAAATATATATTGGAAAAAAACAAACCAAAACAAATAAGAACTGGAGAATCTGAACACTTTGCACATACACATTTACAAAAATATTTCTAACTTTTTCCAAACCTTGGCATGGTTGTTTATCGTTCAAATTTCGGCTGCCAATTCAGAGTTTGCCTGAACGGATCGATTCGTTTAGTCCAGGGCTGTCCAAACTGGGTTCTGGAGGGCCGGTGTCCTGCAGAGTTCAGCTCCAGCCCTAATCAAACACACCTGAACCAGCTCATCAAGCTCTTACTAGGCATAGAAACGTCCAGTCAGGTGTGTTGAGGCAAGCTGGAGCTAAACTCTGCAGGACTCCGGCCCTCCAGGACCCAGTTTGGACAGCCCTGGTTTAGTCAGAGAGACCTATTACAGATGTGGATTTCGGCGGAGTCCAAAATGACCTTAAACATTAAAAAGCTCACACTACCCCGAAAAATATAAATTTCACGCATACGGGTGACAATCAACATTCAAGTGCCAGTGTTTTTGTACGGTCTTTTGGTCAAGTTTCTTGAAACTATCACTTTTTAGGCTTATAAAAATAAATATTTCTCCAAAATGCTTAATAAATTACACAAACTAGCAGCAAAAGTAGAATCTAGTAATCTGTGCAAATAGCTAAATTCCCCACTGCTAATCCCTGGTCCCAAATCAATCCTGGTTAACTATTGGAGAACCCGTCCCCTTTTGTAAACAAGCTGCGTTTTCACAATCTTCACACACAATATTTGGAAGCTTAAGGACACGCACTCAAGACACTTATATAAAACCCTAGATGTGCAATAAAACAACTTTTGTAAAACTTAATGGGCCTAAGTAGCACCACTGCTCTCAAGTCACCTCAATACTGTCAACGCATCTGCTTCAGGTCACCTTTTCTAAAAGGCACAACACGCTTGAGTAAATCTATTGCACTTCAGTTAAACGCATCCCACTCGCCCTTAGCGTACGATTAAGAGCACGCAGGAGTTTGAAAGAACCCTGTCTTTGGCCAGGATGCCATGGAAACCTCCTCCACTAAACCAACCAGTACGAGTCTGGTTTACACCCAAGCCGCAGCCCTGCAGCTGGTTTCGTGCAGTTTCCCGTGGTGTACACCGAATTCTACTGACCCCAGGCCTCCCGAAGCTCCGGGGGTCACGAGGGAGCCGTGTCTCAAGAGTAAAGCCGAGGATGTCTTTCGGAATTCAACGCAGCTTGAAAAAGAGAAAAACGAAAAAGTGAACAAATGTTACTTGTAACGAACGTAAAAGCCTGCTGCAGAAATCGGTTCGAAAATCTCCTTGACCAAAAAACAAGAACACTAGCATGCGGATTTCTTCAGAGACGAGCTGGGCTTTCTGGGCTCGTCCGCTAGACCTCGTGGTCCTAGAGAAGCCATTCCAACGCTTCACTGCGGAAGCTGCCACAAGCCCACCGTTCATCGACTGGATTTCAAAGGAAGAAAATGATAAATCCAATTGCTACCTGCACGACGGTTCAAGAAAAAAAAGAAAAAAAAAAAAGTTAATCCAACACCGCTGAACAGCTAGCATGTGGTTCTGAACTAGCGGCCTCTACGGTTCGGTTATGAAGCGGAGCGGCGGGAGGCAGACGCGGTTCGTCACAACATCGAAATTTAAAATAATATACTGGAATGGCTTGGTTTCTTTCTCAGAAGACTACCGTCTCTTATTGATGCCTCTCCAGGATAGAGTGAGCGAGATCTTTTCCTTCCAACATTCAATATTTTTCACCCCCTTGTGATAGTTTTACCACACAAGAGACCTCAAGCCAATCGAGGGGGTCAGGTGACCCCATACAAAATTTCAGTTCAAAATGAGGTTGTGACAGACCATCCCAGACTTTGCCAAGGTTTGATTACATCCAAGCTTTTGTTATACCATCCAAACAAATCTTTCGAGCGGGGAGAACAAAAAAAAAAAACAAAAAAAAAAAGGGGGAAAACAATTGTCAGCCAGACATTTAAAAAGAAGAATGGAAAACAAACAAAACACAGCGAGTCTAAATGTAAAGGCACAGTACATTAACAAACAAATGATTCTCGTTTAGTATAAAGAAATGAGATGTAGTGGAAAACTAGAGTCCAAGAATCTAAAGCAAACTTCAGCCTCCGTTCCCCCTTCGGCACGAGAGCGTGTCCTGCTACAGTCAAACCTCCAGAAATCCCGGCATCCCCGAGTCCCACGGAGCTCAAGCTTCTCCGGATGTGGTCAGAGAATCACAGCTGGTAATGTACTGCAAAGTTCTTCAAAGCTACACAGGGTATACAGTCTGGCTATGGTACATGTGGTTTCCATTCAGTGAGTTTGGCATGGTGATCCACTGTCATCGTGGGGAGTGAAGAGGTGAAGGAAGGAGTCTTAGTTTCCCCACCAGTCCACCTGCGAATAGTTTCCTCCATAGCCATCACTGCTGTAGAAGTTACCAAAGCCACCTGAGGACCAGAAACACCAGGTAAGTTACTCAAGAACTGTGTTGTCATGCAGCTAAAGTGGAAAATATCTTCGAAAGCAGCCAATCAAGAAAAGCCACCAAGGCCTCTTCCCCCAATGAGGGCGTTGCTCTTGAGCGAAACCGACCCTTACCCCCGCCAAATCCACGGTTTCCTCCGTGACCACCGGTGTTACGGCCGCCGCGACTCCCGAAGCCTCCACCGCTGGTGCTGGTCTGACGGTAGTCTCTGGCACCAAAACCACCAGAAAACCTGAAAAACACCAAACCGGTTTAACAGGGTGCCCAGGGGACGATCGTGAAAGCAAAAGGCTTGGGGAAACCGCTTCACCTCTTGGAGCGCCCGCGGCTGCTGCTCTTGTGCTGGTGCTCATAGGCCAGGCTCTCCAGCCAGGAGGGGACTTCCTGTTTGGCCTCCACCACGATGTCCAGCAGATCCTTGGTGATGTTGCTATTCTTATCATTGAAGAATGATGTGGCAAGACCTGAGACAACCCAACAAAACGACTGAATTGAGACTTGGGACGCAGCAGACATCAACAGTAGCAGCGTTTACATGGACTCTAATAATCCGATCGTAATAGGACTAGAAGCACAATCGGAATAACAAAAAAATAAAGTCACATGTAACCACGTCAATCGGACTGAATTGGCCAGATCAGTTTAAAATTTCAATTGGATTGTAAGGGGTGGTTTATTCCTTTTGTAATCCGAGTGAGAGGACATGTAAACACTTGATCGGATTGAAAACCGAAATACTGCGCATTAGTGCTGGGCGATATGAGCAAAAATTCATATCTCGGTATTTTTTGGCTGATTTGCGGTATATATCTCGGTATTTTCTGTGCTTTTTTTATTTGGATTAAACAAATAAAGTGAATGTAACCATGTAGGCATATATTATGTGCAAAAGGGTTCAAATCACATTATAAAGCGGATAGTTCTGGTGCTTGATTCTGATTGGCTGAGCCGCGTTCGAAGCTGTTGTAAATGACTCTACAAAGTAACACACACCTTTGTTTACTTCTGTGTGTTGCTCGGCAACCACTTTGTTGCAACCACAACTGATTCTGAGGAGCTACATTGTTTGGTGGAAGAATACTGTTTTTATTAATATCATTACACTTTATTTGCTCTGTTTTATTTTGTGAAACCTTACTTGTTTTAAGCAAAAACGAACAAAATTTGGATAATATTGTCAGAAAACAAGACAAAATATCTTAAGTCGTTTTACTTGTCAAGTAAATGCATCCCGATTCAAGAATTTTTAGATATTTATACTAGAAAACAAGACAAAAATACTAAGAAAGAAAATCTTTTTTTTGCAGTGTAAACACTACGTTCAGATTCGTCAATCAGAATTAATTAATTCCGATGGAAGCAAAAAGTGTCCATGTAGACGTAGCTGCTGTCGCTGCAATCATCAACATGGTCTCTGCAATTACCAAGGTTTCCCACGCGACCGGTTCGCCCGATGCGGTGGACGTACTCCTCGATGTCACTAGGCAGGTCAAAGTTAATGACGTGCTTCACGTTGGAGATGTCCAGACCACGAGCAGCCACCTGCGGAACAAAAGAGTTTGAGACTTGCACCAAAACATACCAAAGATTAAACAAACGAAAGCGGGAAGAAAGATGACATACAGCCGTGGCTACTAAGATGGGGCATCTCCCTGAACGGAACTGATGGAGCGCTTCCTCACGGTCTCTCTGGGAACGGTCGCCGTGGATACTGGTGCAGGCGTAGCCCTCACGATACAGGAAGTCCTCCAGAGCATCCGCTCCCTTCTTGGTCTCAACAAACACCAAGGTCAAAGATTCTTTACCTGTTGGATGAGATGAAGACTATCAACAACTTACATCACGCTTCAGTACGAGGAGTAGAAGCTAATGAATGGCAACAAACAGGGAGTGACAAGCATTTGGATCTCATACAAGTGAACTTTGCGTTAATTTCAAAAGACTACTGTAGTCGCAGCCATGTGTGCAACCAAATTACAGCAGTCTTATGGCTTTACAATTCAACATGGCATTGGTTACATGCCACTTCATGCACAGATCCAACCGCATCATTTTTAATATAACTCCAATTGTACTCGTCTGAAAGAAGAAAGTCATATACACCTCAGATGCCTTGAGGGTGAGTAAAACATGGACCTATTTTAATTTTTGGGTGAACTATCACTTTAAACCCCAAACTCATCAGACAAACCTAATAAACAGGACAAGCCAGAGCCATCTTAAAACTATAACATTACAAGACGTCTTCAGGCTGAAACGCTCACCTGGATCTCCTTGGGGAAGGTGGCACTGAACATCATGGTCTGACGAAGCCCTTTGGGCGGCATGGTGTCCTGCTCGACGATACGACGAATCTGTGGCTCGAAGCCCATGTCCAACATGCGGTCTGCTTCATCCAGCACCAGATACCTAACGACAGAAACACACAGCTTATAGTCAAGCCACAAAACAGTGAAAATAAGAGAAGCTAGTGCATTCTTGGACCTAAAACTGGGCACCATTAAAAGTAACAGACATGCATAAGATTGGACGGCGTTCCACAGAGGCACAAAGTGCAGCAGATCAGTGACGTACTTGCAGTAGTCCAGGCCGATCTTGCCCCTCTCCATCATGTCCACCAGACGCCCAGGAGTGGCCACCAGCAGATGGCAGCCTCTCTCCAGATCACGAATCTGCTGACCGATATCAGCGCCTCCATACACCACACAGGGCCGCACATGAGAGCGGTACGCAAACTACACACACGGGATTTAAAAAAAACAAAAAAAACATCAACATTAACAGAAATTGGGAAGTTCCAATAAGACGGTGTTCTGGTTCGGTTGTTTATTACCTTCCTGGCCTCATCGTAGATCTGGAGCGCCAGTTCCCTTGTTGGGGCTAAAACCAGTGAAATGGGATACTGCTTACGGCGGCCATATTTCCCATTTTCCTAAAGACAAGACACCCAGTTAAGATATCCAACAAATGTAGAGAGCCAGTTCTTTATTGGCAAACTAACACACAGGAAGTGCTACCTGTGCACTGTTCTTCACAGCCTGCAGCGCCTCTCCCGGTCCTTCAGTGTATATCTGGCTCAGCACCGGCAGCAGGAAGGCTGCAGTCTTACCAGAACCTAGTTACAGTCACAAAGACAAGGTCAATCAAGCATTTACCATACACACACACACACGTACTAAAAAAACAACAAATCATGAGCAACTAAGCGGATGTCTCACCTGTCTGTGCGCACGCCATCAGGTCTCTCTTAGTCTTGATGATGGGAATAGCGTGCTTCTGGACAGGAGTGGGCCGTGTGTAGCGGGTCAGGGCTATATTTCCCATAATGATCTCTCCCATATCTACATCATGGAACTGTATTACAAAAACACACAAAGATAAATTTATTTAAAAAAAAAATATATATTAATTTGCAATTAAACTTGGATCATGATCAGGTGACTCACACTCTCAATATGTGGTGGACAGTTCTGGCCTGTGGCTTCAACAGGAATGTCATCATACTTCTCAAAGTTAATCCCTGTGTTGCTTCCAGAGAAGAGCTCACTGCGAGAAAACAGGAAAAACAAGTGTCAGACAAACACCACTTTGGTTTAAAAACCACTGGCAACCTCCAGGATTGCATTTACAAGATTAACATATCAACGATACCACATCAGAACTACTTCAAATCTGATGTTAGCCATTTTTTAAGGATATGGAAGTGGGAACACCTTCACAGGAACCTGAGAGCAGTGTCATGTCAAAACAGCAACACTCACTGTTCCACACGCTCATTGGGAGGCAACGGTTTGGACCAGTCTTCATCGTCTCTGGAGTCCTCCACCCATCGGCTGCTCCCACCGCCGCCAAAACCTCCACGCTCGTACCTGCCAAACACAACACTGCCTCAGACAGATCCAGGACTTACAGAGACTTCCATCACAAGTTAAAGTTCATTCTAGAGCTGCACGATTCTGGATAAATTGAGATAACTATTCTAAACTTAAATTAACAATTTACAAAAGGCTAAGACAAAATGTTAATTGCTGCAGTCAGTTTAAGAGTGTTAATATACATTTAAAATAATATATTTAAATAAACCAATTTTTAATATTAAAATTATGAAAAATTGGTTTGAATGATTCAATGACTCGCTCAAATATTTCACTTGTTTCAGTACTGGATGAATCAGCATTTTTGAACGAATCTCTTGAATGAATGATTCAAGGACAAATACATTTTTAACAGTCATGTGTCGCCACCTAGTGGAGAAACGATGTAACCTAGGGCTGCGCGATTAATCAAACGCAACTGCAACGCACGCGCATCTCGTCAGTAAAGCGGTTCTGTAATCAGCAGTAAATCTCCATCACCTGCTTTCAGATGGAGCAGCATTTACTACACAGAGCCGGAGTTCTCTGACAAGCTACACGCACAAAAAAAAGAAAAAAGAAAAAGTGAAGCAAGCCTCACAGCCCCCTGGATGAAGACCCGCGGTCATTGAAGAAAGATGATTTGCCCCGGTCAGAGCGGCCGCCAAAGCTGTTGTAGGCAGTGTCTTTTGGGGCATTCCAGCCACTGGCATCTTTGTTGTCATAACCAAATCCTAATAAAGAGAGAACGATTCACATCAAAAAGCAGCAGTGCAAGTCGTGTAGTCAAACAGCAAAGCAAGCGTTCTCAGACGTATGGTGACGACACCTGCCTGCGCTCTGCATTGGCTGGATGGGGTTGTAGGAGCCGCTGGTTTTACCTCTGAAGCCTCCTCTTCCTCCGCGGTCGTTGCGCATGGAGCCGCGGCCACCGAAACTGTTGCCCCCATTCATGCGGTTGTCTCGGCCATCATGGCAGCCGTTCACGAAGCCATTGCTGCGTCCGTTATCCCATCCTCCGGGAGAATCTGTGTGAGAGCGAGAGGACGGGGTTATTAAACACACGTGTGCTAGAAACGTTACATGGAGCGGAGCATTCTGGGGGCGGATGGTCAAAAGCAAAGCAGTTAGTCAAGTAGGGCATGGACTTGTACTTCTCGGCTCTAGTTAAGTAGTCTGCCACCAGTCCTCGACTTGACCGACTACATTGAAATTGCTTGCAAAATGCTGAAAATTCAAGTAAATGCAGACATGGGAGCATCTACTCTAAATATTTCCCCCCTCATCTGAGTCGGGTCTTTAAACAAAAGTGCTCTTCAAAGCCCGTGGACGACATTTGCGTCTTGCATTGGAAAGAAATGTGGCTGAAATAAGCTGTTACGATTCCAAGTGTGTGCTGAGAATTAATCGTGGAACCATGCATATTTGAGGATTTCCCCTCAAAGTCTCTCTTTAGCCAAAGGCTGTCAATAGAAACGTACAGCTCCTTCCTGGTGCCACGGAGTAACCGCTCTGTCTACCAGAGGAATAAGCTCCTGCTAAAAGAACAAACGTATAGTCAGGAGGGTGCTGGGCCAAACAGCCTCGTCACAAGGATAAGACTAAAGATCACGGAGCATCTCAAACCTATACTGCCGAGAGTCTCGGCCAATACGGTTCAGACAAGCTCTGGTTGAATTGTAGACGCACTTTTTTTTTTTTTTACATGCCAGCATATTGATTACTTGAGTCACTGGACAAACGATGGAGGGGGGATAAAATTATCCAAAAATGTCAGTGGAAAGCACTCTGTTTTGGCTCAAGATGTGTACCAATAACAGTCCGAAAGAGAGGAATGAGAGAGTGCAGTAGTGCACTGGCACCTAGACAGAAGCAAGCAGAGATTCACAGACTGCACACTAGCTATGTTTCCATCCAGCTATTTTTACATGCATTTTGGAATATTGCATAAAAAAATAAATTTAAAAAATGCTAGATGAAATGCCAAGATGCACATAAGTTCTAAAAATGTGCATTAAAAAAAAAAAAAAAACGTATGTGCACAATTGAGTAGGATAAACTTCTTATCCGATAAGAAAAAAACGTGCATAAACTACGACGGAAACACAATTATTGAATAAATTCCACCATGCGCATCGAACAAGTCATGTGATTTGCGCTATAAGATGGGATAACTCAACTAACCAGCGGACCGATCTCGTTCACAGCATCTATATGTTGTCCTGAAAGGCCTGAGCAAAGCCTGTCGTTAAAGTATTTCTGTATAATTGTCTTAAACGACTGTGTTCCCAAACAGCAGCATCCTCCTCCGAAAGCATCGACCGCATTTATTGTGTTTCGTCTGCTCGCTCTGAGGCGCAAGTCATTTATCACATATTAAAATTATTATACTCAGTGGCTTCTCCTAGTTTTCTGTGTGATATTTAGAGCCAGTTTATCAGGAAGTGACGATTCTGTTCTCTTTGACTCGTTGGATGTAAACGGTGCTTTATTCACAAACGTTCTGTGCGATATTCCAGTTGTGTGCATGAAACACAGCCACTGACAGACGTCCTACAGACATGCTGAGCCACAAACAGCACTGTCTTTAAGTCAGACGATCACAATCTTCAACAGCACTGGAGCTTTAGGGCTAAAGACACGTCAAGAAGAAAAGCGTAACGTTACGTACCATTTTTGGAAGCTTCTTTGTTCCTTAAATGAGGTGGAATGTAGCGCCCTGGTGAAGACAGACTTTGTTAGCATGGCACACACACACAACTCTCCTTCATCCAGAGCAAAACTGAAGATAAAACCAGATCAGAACTGCTGTAAGAATCGGATACTCACTTCCAGGGACTCCTTGAACATCAGCGGAGTTCAAGTCTAGGGCAGCGAGCTGAAAGAGAAGGACAGAGTTGATGTGGTGCAGAGCAGAATAACCTTCAAAAGCTGAACGGGGATCGGTGCGAGAGGAAACACCGGATCCACCATCGAGCTCACACCGAGATCAGAACCGTATTCAAGCCTTCTGCGCTCCTCTCAGAAATACAACATCTACCTGAAAAGATCACTAGACAACTACATCTCAGACACCGATGCACTGATTAATACTGCAACATATCAATAAAATCATAAATCAAACCCTGTGTCAAAACGACAAAATAAAAGTCATTAAACGAGCTCACGTGACCTTTACAACACGTGTCAACGCAATTATATTCACTTATATGTGACTCTGGAGCACAAAAGCAGTGTTAAGTCGCTGGGGTATATTTGTAGCAATAGCCAACAATACAAAATTGACCCTTATGACTGGTTTCGTGTTCCGGGGTCACACTTATGAAACGATATTTAAAGCGCCCTCGGAAGATTCGTCGTGTTTACATCGAGATATTCGAGTCCGTTTGGGTTCATCTGAAGTACAAAAACCAAACCAGGTTCTATTAAGAGATGTAATGACCGCAAACACACAAATGCAGCGAAATGAAGAGCTGGTCAGACAAAGGGCCAGAAGCAGCTCGAGAACAGGCCACAAACCCACCAGCGGAAAGTTTTCCAGCTCGATCGCGATGTATTTATTTGCGTCGCGCGTCTGAACGCGATCACACAGCCGCTTATAAACAACACTTAACTCTCTAAGTTACATGAAAACCGTCCTAAAGTCCCAAAGCCGGTTTATGAAGGAGCCGCGTGACGCGCCGCAGCGCCGCCATCATCCGCTCCTCGCAGCCTCCATCTTAAACACCACCGCCGCTTCACCGCTCGCCCCGCGCCAGAACAGCCCCCAAACCCCGCTGGCGACCCCGGCTTACCTGCTGGTCTAGACCGTGCACATTCTCGACGGCCACATGACTCATAACTAACGGGTGTTGAGGGCTGATGTCGAACACAAACGGGTTTCTTTGTTCGCCGGTATGCCGCTCTTGCTCGCGTCCCGCGGCTCCTGTTGACGCCGGTCGGTGAGACGAGTAACTAAACAAAGGAAAGAAAAACGGGTGTCCCCGAAGCGCAAACGTCGCTTTAGGACGAAGCGTTTGTGTTTTAATGTTCTTCTGTGTGTCTGAGGAAGACTTCGCGTCGATGATAATCGGAACTCGAGCTGCGCGTCTTTCTCGATCTGAGCGTGAAATAAGAGCGCAGCGGAAACCGCGTCACGTTATTGGACGACAGAAGTCTCGCGAGACTTTGGGGAGCGACGCCACACTGTTAACAACAGTGGAGATGAATCGGTCATTTAATGCTGGTGCTTTTTATCTCCTAAAAGTTCTCACGGATTACCTGGAAATGCAGTTCATTTTGTTCAACAAGTGCTAATCCATATTGACCACAAACCAGTCATAAGGGTCAATTTTGTGAAATTGAGATGTATGCATGATCTGAAAGTTTAATAAATAATCTTTCCATTGATGTATGGTTTGTTATGATAGGACAATATTTGGCTGAGATACAACTATTTGAAAATCTGGAATCTGAGGGTGCAAAAAAATCTAAATATTGAGAAAATCATCTTTAAAGTTGTTCAAATGAAGTTCTTAGCAATGCATATTACTAATCAAAAATTAAGTTTTGATATATTTACAGTAGGAAATGTACAAAATATCTTCATGGAACATGATCTTTACTTAATATCCTAATGATTTTTGGCATAAAAGAAAAATCTATAATTTTGACCCATACAATGTATTGTTGGCTATTGCTACAAATATACCCCAGCGACTTAACACTGCTTTTGTGCTGCAGAGCCATATTTTGTCAGTATCATAATTTTGAGCTACAGGACATGTGCGTTCACTGCTGGATGATTTCTCTGAGCAGAACAGACCTGGATGTCTGCAGGTTTATTTCATGTGTTTGCAGTGAATCTGAGGATCATCACAGCTTTCCTCGGTGCGCTCAAACCTGGACAGAAAGAGACACCAGAGGAAGAGAGGCGTCCAGTTGTCTAATGCAGATTTCACAAAACACCCTTCGAAATTTGCTGCTGTTATTTTGTTCAGAAACGTGGTGCTGCTTCATGATTGAAATGTGAAGAGTACATACACAGTGTTTCATTGCACAAATTAAACCACGAGCAGATGTTCTGAGCAGAAGATGTGGGTCAGTGTAATTCAAATACCATTTATTTTTTACCTTTAAAGTATAATTTAATGATTTTACAGTGTGCTGGGTTTGTACAGTGCTCGAAGGCCGATCGAGGAATATTATCCATGCACGGTTCACAAGAAGAGCTTTAGAAATCAAACAAAATCAAACCCGAAAAAGCAAAAACAAAGCAGAAGGCAAATGTCATCCTGATGAGACGTTTACAAAAGAAGAAACAAAACGAAGCTTGTGAGATCCTCTGTATTCTGAGAGAAGGATGACCTGTAGTGCTAGTTTAGATGGTTTAACCCGCTCACAACCCAGTTCAGGGCCGTTCAGTCTTTGTTAGGATGGGTTTTGGCAGATGTTTCAGGACACAATGCTTTAACGAGCACAAGTGTGTCTCAGGTCTGGGCTGCGTTTATCAAAAGCATCGTAAGCCTCAGTTGATCGTAGCTCTATTGGTGACAATGGTTCTGCGATCAATTTAGGCTTACGATGCTTTTGATAAACGCAGCCCCGAGTGTTTCTGTGTGCTTCGGGTATTTACAAACCGTACCTTCTTATAGAAACCATCGGAAAGCTAATAAAAAGTCATGTTTGCATTTAAATGTTTAATTTATTGTTTCTAGTGGTGCAATGCTTCTGTTATTACACGTCTGTGCAGAAAAAGAAAGACTTCTTTTCAAGTGAAAACTTCACATGGCTAAAGCAGCTCCAGAATCCAACCTCACGCCGTAAACAACGTTCGGCAAAAACAGAACTCTGTACATTAAATATCCTCTTAAAATAACAACACAAGGACAAGGCCTTTGCATTCAAACGCTCAAACTCTTTCTTCTCAAATTCAACAAAATAACCTCTATTAAAGAAAACGGCAAAACAGAATATGGTGATTTTGGTATTCAGACAAAAGAGCCACACTTTATAAATCCAGCTGATGAATGAATCCTGATGATCTCCCTGCAAATCTCCCCGGATACAGAGCAGTGTGGCCGTGGCTGCGTTTTCATTGGACGGGGACAGAGGAAGTGGGAGGAGCCAAGAGGCAGACTCAGAACTAGGGCAACTGAAATTCCATTCAACAGTGAGAAAATAAGACGAGTTATTACACTTTCCAGCCCGCTGACAATACAAATGAAACATGGACTCGAGTGCCAGAGAGAATGTAGTCTGTGGAGTAAATGTGCCAATCTGCAGCCACTTTGTCACACCAACATTAAAGAGGTTGACGCAGGTGGACGACAAAGTGAGCCAGCAGCAGTGTTCAAGACCCTAACAGAAGATCACACTCCTAACAGAACAACAAAACAAATCAAAGCTTTCAATGGCGTCTAAATCAGTAGAGCGACACCGAGTTGACCCCACGGAGAGTCATGAGGATGCAGCGTTTGTCCGCAACGGTCCACGCTGACGCAGCAAACGCATACCACAAAGCCTCGGGTTTCCCTTCATTCGGCTGCTGAGGTATTCTCAGATGATGATGATGATGATGATGAAGATGATGGAGCTGGAGGGGGTCCAGAGGTTTGCACACATGCACCATCCGCTACAGCGACGGTTCACACCAAGACTGCGTCTGCGTCTGCGCACCAGACTCTGCAGGCACCCGCGTCGCTCCAGGGTCATCATCACAGACAGATGGAGAATGGAGAGGGCCGTCGGCGCTGGCAGAGAGTGCGGCTCCGCTCCGGGGCTTTAAGGCCTGGTCTCGGTCCTGGAGGCGAGCGGATGCGGTCTCGAGGCAAGGTGTGGGCGACTGCTACTCTTTAGTCTGGACTGGAGGGACCTCGTCGGTTCCTTCCCAGCTTTCTTGGGGCCGCTGCGGGTTATTCATGTGCTGGGCGGCCGGGCCGGTGTAGGGCTGGTTATTCGGCTGCAGAGAGAGCGAACACAAGTCAAGTCACTTATTTATAAAGCGCTTTTAACAGTACAGATTGTGTCAAAGCAGCTTTACGGGGAAGTCGTGGCCTAATGGTTAGAGAGTCGGACTCGTAACCCAAAGGTTGCATTAAATAGGAAAATAGTGTGCCAATAATGCAAAAGGTTAATAGTAAACACTCAATTGTCAGTTAAAGGTAGTTCATCATTGAATTCAGTGATGTCATCCTCCAGCTCAGTTCAGTTTAAATAGTATCTGTGCAATCAAGTCGACGATATCGCTGGAAATTAAGTGTCCCCAACTAAGCAAGCCAGAGGAACCAAACCTCCATCGGTGACAGAATGTGTGATATTCAGAGCCAGTTTATCAGGAAGTGACACTTTTGTTCTCTTTGACTCGCTGCATGGAAACAGTGCTTTACTCACAAATGTTTTATGCAATATTCCAGTTGTGTGCATAAATTTAATTTGAATGTTTGGATGGAAACACAGCTATTGAGTTAAGCCAAGCACACGCTACGAGACCGGAGCTCCTCGCTCTTTCATGAAGCTGCACACTTCTGAGACACGCTTCACCCTGGTCTGAAATGATACACACATACGTGAGCCGTGCTGGCAAAGTGAGTGTGAATGCGCACGGGCTAATTTTCAGCTACAGGCAACAAAAAAAAAAAAAAAGGGAAAAATGTCAAATTTGAGGTTTTCACAAAAATGAGTTCATTAAGCCCTCGCCTAGCGATCCCAATGCTCCAAATAGTAATTAAACATCTACAATTATCTTTATTTATATGTTTTCTGAGAGGAGTACCTCTTCTCCACTCACTTCTCGCACTGACTGACATCCCAAACGCACATAAATACGACAGCGACTGTGTGCGAATATACACACATACACTGAAGTACAGTATTTAAGTGTTCACGCAAACATGATCTGTTCTGTCTTAAGTGAACGTTTGGGGAACTGTTGGGGAAACAGTTGATGTGTAACATTATATTAGATCCGGTACAGTACAGTAGGTCTTACTATAGGCCGTCTGATTAATGTTAATCTAACAATAAAAGAAAAGATCGCTGCTCTTCATTGAACTGCTTTTGTAGTTTTAATAATCAATTTATTTGTGATGAATACACTTTTTTTAGATTTGATTATTTGTTTTTCTTACTTGAATGGTTTTGTTTAAATGTAAAATAAAAAATGTAATGCATTATTTGTTTCTTATAAGTGACCCTGGAGCACAAAACCAGTCATAAGGGTCAATTTACTGAAATTGAGATTTATACATCATCTGAAAGCTGAATAAATAATCTCTCCATTGGTGTATGGTTTGTTAGGATAGGACAATATTTGGCTGAGATACAATTCTATACTGTTTTTTGCATAATATTATAATAAGAATTATAATAAATAGCTATACTGTGATTATTAATACAGTAATTATTATTTAAAAAAGAACTGGAGGAAAAAAATGCAACGTTGCTTGGTGATTTTGCTCACTCATTTTTCATCCGATTACAACAAATCATACCTCATTTTGAGGGTCTTTTAATGGAGAAAATACCTCATTTTTTAAAATTTGCTCATTGTGACTCATTTAGCCAGCACAGGTCACATATTGTTAACAATTTAAAACCATATTGTTATACCAACAAATCATACCTCATTTTGAGGGTCTTTTAATGGAGAAAATACCTCATTTTTGAAAATTTGCTCATTGTGACTCATTTAGCCAGCACAGGTCACATATGTCCATTCAGACCGGTGTAAATCTGGCAGAGCAGTCGTCAGGTGTGCAGCGATGGTGTGAAAGAGCAGGAAGTGGATAACCTCTGCCCATATCTGTCCTCACAACCAATCCATATTTTGAACTTTTCTCTTTTTCCCACTGATGAGAAAGTGTGTGAGATGTGGTGTGCACTTGGCCTCAGAGGACAGCAGTGTTTGATATATGCACAGCTAGTCATCACGCGTGTATGAAGGACTAGCGTGTGGACGTCACCTGCTGATACTGTGTTCCTGGAGAATGAGGATAGAGCGCAGTGTCCTCCGGCGGCGACGAGTCGTGCTCATCAGGTGCTTCCTGATCATCTGGCTCCTGAACAAACAAACAAACAAACAAACATGTGTTGATCTAGTAGAGCGATTCCCAGGGAACGCATGAAGAGTGCAAGTCACTGTGGATGTTAGCACTTTAGACATTAAGCTTCAATATCTCAGCATATTAGCAATTGAACTCTTAGCCTAATACTTATTGAAAATATTATTTTATTATTACCTATTATTCAAGAAATAGACCAGCACCCCAAAACTCTATATTGATTAGTAGGGATGTAATGATATAAAAATCTCACGATACGATAATATGAAGTCAACGATACGATATTTATTGCGATATTTAAAAAAAAAAAAAGACAAGACAAATGAAGACTTGGGAAAAAATGAAAATGTTGTACATTTTAAAGTTAAATTCTTCTATCTAATGCACTTTGAGAGTTCAAAATGAAGAGCTGCAACCCATGTTCTTAACTAAGAAAACTTAAATCAGAGAAATTCAGTGAATTGACTTGAACCTGAACTTTACAGGAGACTCAATCCTCTTTTTATTTGTGATATATTCTGTCTCAGTCTAACCTACATTCACACTGGGGTTTTAGGAAGCCCTGTGCCAAAGCATAATGACCCAAAACACAACTTTAAACACCTTTCATGTCAGAATAAGAAGTTAAAATATATTTTTAAAAACTATGCTTTTTGCCGGAAGACCTATCATTTCATAAAGTCATGTGACCACGATAACATAGAGACAGTTTTTCTATCGCAATATGATGATATTGATAACATCATTACATCTCTATTGATGAGGCAGAGGGCCAGACGGCTCACCTCTTCAGGACAGAGCTCGCAGGCCTTGGCCAGGGTCATGCGGGCGCTGTGAGAGCGCTCCAGGAAATATCCGTTGGACGTCTCGTTGCTCTGAACCGGAGGAGACCAGTTGTTGTAGCTGTACTGAGGGTTTCCCGTGTATGGCCTCCTCTCCAGCTCATCACCCAGCCATTCTACTGCCCACGTCCACTTCCTCTTCAGATCCCCATTACTCTGTGATACAAAACATCCACAATCACTTCCTCTTCAGATCCCCATTACTCTGTGATACAAAACATCCACAATCACTTCCTCTTCAGATCCCCATTACTCTGTGATACAAAACATCCACAATACAGTAGAGAAATAACAATACTTCTTTCCTAATTTCTACACTTGAGAGAGATATTGTGAATCTGGACTGCGTTTAAACCGCTAGCTGTCAGCGATTCATGCTGCACTTTAAGCTTTTATTTAGAAGGAAAACTCCAGCTTCAGTGAAAACAGGATTACAGAAACACGTCTCACTACAAATCTAGTGAAACGCTGTCATCATCTGCCGTGAAAATAAAGCATGACTGGTGTCTGCTGCGTTCCCAAACGCGCGCTAAGCGCACAGCACGTGAAATAAAGGAGTGGACTGCATTCATTCAGTGTGAACGAGTCGTTCTGAGACGAGGAAAACACCGGATCACGAGCTGATCGTCTGAACCAAGTGCAGCTTTGCTTTGAAACACGCAGCGCAAACAGACTTGATGAAGAGATTGAGCATATTGTGCTTTCGGTCTGAGTTTGTTTGACAGATACTGTGCCAAAGCATAATGACCCAAAACACAACTTTAAACACCTTTCATGTCAGAATAAGAAGTTAAAATATATTTTAAAGAGTGCTGTCAAACGATTAATCGCATCCAAAATAAAAGTTGTTTAGATAATATGTATGTGTGTGAGCTGTGTATATTTATTACATATATATAAATAGACCACACCCACAGCCACAAAACATTCACAATCACTTCCTCTTCAGATCCCCATTACTCTGTGATACAAAACATCCACAACCACTTCCTCTTCAGACCCCCATTACTCTGTGATACAAAACATCCACAACCACTTCCTCTTCAGATCCCCATTACTCTGTGATACAAAACATCCACAACCACTTCCTCTTCAGACCCCTATTACTCTGTGATACAAAACATCCACAACCACAAAACATCCACAACCACTTCCTCTTCAGATCCCCATTACTCTGTGATACAAAACATCCACAACCACTTCCTCTTCAGATCCCCATTACTCTGTGATACAAAACATCCACAACCACTTCCTCTTCAGACCCCTATTACTCTGTGATACAAAACATCCACAACCACAAAACATACAAAACATCTTCCTCTTCAGACCCCCATTACTCTGTGATACAAAACATCCACAACCACTTCCTCTTCAGCCTCTTCAGACTCTGTGATACAAAACATCCACAACCACTTCCTCTTCAGACCCCCATTACTCTGTGATACAAAACATCCACAACCACTTCCTCTTCAGACCCCCATTACTCTGTGATACAAAACATCCACAACCACTTCCTCTTCAGACCCCCATTACTCTGTGATACAAAACATCCACAACCACTTCCTCTTCAGACCCCCATTACTCTGTGATACAAAACATCCACAACCACAAAACAT